GCTGATGTTTTCTTTTTTTTTTTCGTGTTTCTTGGGTTAGGTCATTCATCCAATTCATGACCAATCTTTTTATTTAACGTTGGAGCACAAGCGGAGGCTGAAGGAGGAATTTGGTATGTAAGAAGTCGAGAATCTGTTGATGTACCTAATACCACTTGGATGTTAACTGACATGTTTTTCCCTTTAAGGTGTCGAACCATGGACTTTTGTACAAAGACTCGGAGAGGCGGTATTTATTCCAGCCGGATGCCCACACCAAGTCAGGAATCTCAAGGTCCTATATCATTAGGTGTCAATACAATTCCTCTTTTCAAATATTTTCACTTGTATAACTCTGAAATAGTTTGTTTTCCAACCTGCAGTCCTGCACGAAAGTAGCAGCAGACTTCGTATCTCCTGAAAATGTCCATGAGTGCCTCCGTTTAACTGAGGAGTTTAGACAGCTTCCGAAGAACCATAGAGCCAGAGAAGACAAACTTGAGGTAAACCACTTTGTTTTACCCTTTAATCGATTTTCCGCCAACTTATTTCGCTTTATTTCCTCTCCTAAAGTTACTTCGGCCCCGTCTCTTTGGCGGAACAGATCAAGAAAATGATACTTTACGCTGTCGATCAAGCTGTTAAAGATTTTGAATCCTTGGCATCGACTCAAGAGTTGGAAGCCTTGGTATCAACTCGAGGTTTGAAGGCCTTGGAATCAACTGAAGTTTGAGCATTACGGAGCTACCCGAACCTGTCAACTTTGTAGTAGAATTTTTGTTATAATAATGCTGATATTGGCTTCTGATAACTGTCTCCTGAGCACCATTTTTGTAAGTAGAAACAATTTTTGGAACGGAGTTCTCTTCGCACTCCAAATAAATTGAAGCCAATGATCCTTTTGTTACGAGCGATATTACTACTCTTTAGTATTTAAAACCAAAATATTTACCTTTGATGAACCCGTGTCATTCCTTCGATATAAAGGTTTCTAATAGATGCTTGAGCTTAGAGACAAAATTACTGGAGCAAGAGTCAGAAAGTAGTGTTAGATATAAGGTTTGTTTGAAAATGCTTATAAAATGACGGAAAATACTTTTTTTTTTTAAATTATTTTTTGTTTCTAAAGCATTTGAAATGGTTTTTAGGATCACTTAATTTTTAAGTTTTTACTAATGATTGGTTTCAAAAATATTTTCACCAAAAACGTTTTCAGTCATTTTAAACCAACATTAGAATGAAATATATTGGAATAAATTAAAACCAACATTAGAATGAAATATAGCTAAACTAAGAAGAAAACAAAATTCTGTTAGTGTTTCATTAGAAACTACAACTCTTTATTTATAACCATTAAATTGAATAAATAAAAAGAAGTCAATCACCAGTGCTAAACAAAATGTAAAAAGCTAAAAAAAATTGTGTAAAATCACTTCCCTTTGATCAAAATCACGAGAAAGGCTTGGGTCATGAGGTCGAATTCTGTCACTCGTCTGAGCTTTCCGAAAAACCAAAACTCCTTGTAAAAGTTCAGTTGGTCCCGCTCCACCTCAAAAGAAGCGGTTCTCACTCTTTTGTGATAGTGGGACGAGTGATGCAGTCCAACCCTGGGCCTTCTCCAAAATCACTCTTGAATGTAAGCAACATCTAAGTTAATGAAAATTTTAAATGCATACTAAGTAAACCATTTTACATGTTATGAATGACGGCACTTGAGTGTCATAGTGTTTTCATGCAGATACCTTACTGACATATTATTGGCAAGTGAAAATATGTTAAGCTTATCAGTTTCAAAATATTGCATCTAGAAAATGCAAAAGCACGAATTAGACTAAATCTGTGACATATTGATCCAGATCATGAATCAACTAGTAGTTCATCAACACGAGGTCCCAATTCATTGGGCGACTGCAAAATCACCAAATGAATTGCCGATCACTAACGGTATTGGGCAATGTTCACATGCACTTTATACTTAAGGCGACTTACCTGCAAAGTAAAGTTACAACTCAAAACATTATATAACTTTACATAATTGATTCGGAATTCCACTACAGTAACGAGCTTCTAGTGTCTGCATGGGAGACCATGTGACCCATACGACTACCCACACAATACAAGGACACCTTTTATTGCGGTAATATTGGGCCACTTTTTATAAGAGAGGATTGCATACGGATGACCGTATGTAAGAATCCTCAGCATAATACCATCATGATGCTTGTGTCTAGAGCCGATGAATCCAGAGGTCTGGACCACTCGTTTTATTGTTTTAAATTCTACAGTATCCATTATTCCATTTCATTGGTCCACCTCACACAAGTCAAGGGTCTAGATCTCTAGCTCCGCTTGCTATGGACTTCGAGATTCAGAGGCGATCTCGATACATATTTACACTACGGTGGCAGATTGGAGCAAAGCCACACAAGTAATCAGCCATAATATATTTGTATTTAATTCATCATCCATAAAAGTAAAAAAAAAAAAATACAACTAAACTGTATACTAATTGGTTTATCACACTTTTAATGGTGTAATAAAATATTATTGACTAATAGAGTGAATAATAGTATGTAGTGAAATACTGAAAAAAACTAAAACAAACCCTAAAATACTAGGTTGGAAGAGGATAGAAATTCAAGATTTAATCTACTTCTAGAACAAAAAAAAAAAAAAAAAAAAACAAAATAACAAATCATAAAGCAAAAGAAAACTATGAATAAAGATTAAAAAGATTGTGTATTTGCTTCCTTCCTTACCCATAATTACTTGCGATCCATGATCAAGTAGAAACCATAAAACCATCTTTCTAGGCTTTTGAAGATCTCATGCGCTCCATTACAAAGTGATCATGTTTCAAGCCAGTCCTTGGGCAAACTCTTTTCTTCACCATCTACCGCAAATCAATCGGATCTCAAAATTAATTGCATAACTAAAATTATCTTCCATGAAAACACCAATTATTGAAACCGATTCATATAACTATGAATAAATGATATTATAAAGATTCGACATAAAAACGGAGTGTCGACTACCAACTATCTGAAGTCTTCCCCTTCTCCTCCTCGACAACGTAAAATAAACTTATACAAGCATAATTTATGAATAATCTAAAAATACAAATTCTTGAAGCCTTGAAATCCCTATAGTCCAGATCTTCCAAGAGAAAACTCTCTTCAAAGAATGACCAAAAGAAAAGTTTGGTTAGAAGTTCTTTTTATAGTGAGATTTGGGTGGCATTAGGGTTTCTTAACTCTAATAAAATAACCAAATTGCCCTTGCCTTAGAATTTAGTATAGGAAGTTGCATGAATCATGGCTATTTATTAGGATTGATCGTTACGTATCAAATTCAGGATTCAAAAAGTCCATGCAATTCTTAAAATTCTAGTAAAACCTTGACTTCTCAATTTTTTTTTTTACTTTTTAACCGTTCGATTTTATTTTTATTTTTTTAAAACAAAAATCTAATAGTTAAAACACATAAAATCTTTCATATTTGAAGACACCACAAAAAGTCTCGAGTTTATATTACATGATACGAATGGACCGAAAGATATGTATATATTTCCTCCTTCCGAAAGAGTCTTATAAACACTTAAATAAGAATTCAATCATCAACAACCACGTTATATGATTTACACAATTTAGTTTAAATAGAGGATGATGCTAGAGAGATCAAATTTTTAGAAGATCTTTCGTGGACTGCATGACGGTTAATAGTTAGTCTATTTTTTTAATGATTTAAAGAATGAGTCCAACCATCAATCATTATATCATGTGTTTTACAAAATATGATTTAAAATTGATCTTTCTAACATTACCTAGTAAGTCGACAAAAAAAAAAAAAAAAAAAAAAAAACATTTCCTAATAAGTAATAATTTTGTAATTTCAGTAGAAGAGCCTTAATTTAAAGATTGTCGAAGTCAGCGACGTAAGCCGTTTGGCTAGTCCAAAAGTAATTTCAATCAAGGGAGTGAATATATATGTTCTTGCTGTGTGCATGCATGCATGCATACATTTTCCAGCAAAACGAGTTCAAACTCTCGAAGCCATCTGAGAAGAAAGAGCTCATTTCACTTGAGCCTTCTTTTGGGTTTGAGCTGCTCGTGCTCGATCACTGTTTCTCCGGCGAGGGTCTCGCCGAAGAAACAGATCCAATTGCGACAGTTGGATTCGTCGACCTGATTCTTAACACTGGTAATGCGATTGAGGAGTCAGTAGTATAATTTCAGGAACATGGATATTGGAGTGAAGGGGTTGTGGAGAAATGAGAATCATGGATATTGGGATTGTAGAATAAAAGAAAATTTAATTGGGGGAGGGGGCACACACTCATCTATCGAATGAGCGATTTTTAAGTGTGTCGAAATACGGTCTAGTACACTAAATGTAATAATACAATTAGTTAGAATTTTTTTTTTTAAGTTTCCAACAAATTTTATCATTACACTTGATATACCTGGCCGTGTTCTCAGCACACTGAAAAATTTATCTCATCTAAGAGAATTGCTACTTAACAAAAATAAGAAAAGAAAGGAACCGAAGTTGGGAAAAGGATCGTCAACTAAATCCCCTTGTTAATCTGATTTCTAATCTTTAAATATTTGAATATGAACTTTAGGAGAGAACTTACACTTTTCGCATGCTATACGTGTAAGTAAACGTAAGAGAAAATCAATTAATTCTCACATTTTAGTAAACACAAGTAACTCAATAACTCAAGTGATTTTAAGAATAATGCTACACTTATCACATATTTGTATTACCATTTGTATCATCTCTTTAATATAGGTAGGGTCCACCAACGCAAGTAACTCTTATCTCTATTAGAGCGATAACATAATAGAGATGGGAGCCACACGTAGAAACCCAACTGGGCCCAAACTTGGGCTAACTTTAAGCCCAAAACCCCAGACCCAACAAACCAAAACGAGCGCCAAACAACGGTCTCACACTCACAGCACGTTATCTCATCCACTCTTTTCAGCCACTCTCATTCTTCTTCTTCCTCTTCTTCTTCAGCTCGATGCGAAATGAGTTCTTCTCCTCACGCGCTACTCCATCTCCAACCCCGCCCTCCTCCGCCGCCCCCCTTATGCTTCGGCTCGATTCCGTTTCCTTCGCAATCAATCACCCAATTCAAGAAATTCAGAAAAAGCAACTTTTCTCTGAAGTTGTACAATAACAGCTCCAAAAGCGGCGTTTTCGGTAGAACTAGCGGCGTAATCAGAAGCTCGGTGGCCGAGGAATCGAATGGTGCGGCGGAGCAGAAGCCGAAGCAGCAAGCCGTGGTGAAGAGGCCCTACCCTTTCCACGAAATCGAGCTCAAATGGCAGTGTTATTGGGAGGAAAATCGGACGTTTCGAACCCCCGATGAAATTGATACCTCCAAGCCCAAATACTATGTTCTTGACATGTTCCCGTATCCCAGGTCTCTCTAACTTTCATAAAAATCTGTTCTTTTTTGTTATGTATTTATTTTTAAATTTCAATTGCGAGTGATTGTGAATGTAGAAAATATGAAGACCCAATTTTAGTAACATGATTTTGTGCTGTTTGATTCATGAAAGTTTAAATTTTTGCAGTTAAAAAGTGATTGTTTGAGCAATTGGGTTAATGAAAAACTTAAACTTTCAGAATTCATACGCCTTCTGGAAATTGCAGTAATTTGGAAGTTTGGATTAATATGCTTTTTCCTGTATGTAGGATTGGATAATTTTTTATAACTGTAAAATTTTCAGGTTGTTCGGTTTATGTTAACTAATATCTAAAACTGGTATGCTCATTTGGATGGTTTATTGCAGCGGAGCTGGGTTACATGTTGGCCATCCACTTGGATATACTGCTACGGACATTCTTGCTAGGCTCAAACGCATGCAGGGTTACAATGTGTTACACCCAATGGGATGGGATGCATTTGGATTGCCAGCGGAGCAATATGCAATAGAGGTTCGCTTTTCAGCGCTTTTGTATGGCTTGTAACTATTTGAATATTGCGGCGGGTTTGAAGGATTAGTTATTAATTTGGTTGCGTTGTATGTGTCTGACAGACAGGAACCCACCCGAAGATCACAACCTTGAAGAACATTGATCGCTTTCGCTCCCAGGTCATGTAATATTTGTTTTAATTGCTGGATGTGTAACAAGTCAGTAAATGAAGAAACTTGGCAAACTATGACTTGAGATCAACTACAGAATACTGTATACCTGTTTTGGGAATGACAGTCAAGGTCCTTTAGAAGTTAAATTTGAAAATGAATTTATTACTTCAATCTAATGGCTCATAGGCCAGTAAGTCAAGTTATTATTTAGTATTTAGTTGATGATTGAAGGGGTGTTTTGGGACCTATAAATGTTTGCCAATGTTAGGGATGGTAGGCTTGCGTTAAAAGTGAAACCCGCTACCCACGTTTGATAATAGATTGTTGAGCTCTTGGTTTGTTGGATTGCATTATTTGTTCCCTATGTATTGACATTTTGTATTTGCTTTCAGCTTAAATCCTTAGGATTCTCATATGACTGGGATCGTGAAATTTCTACAACAGAACCAGAATATTATAGATGGACCCAATGGATCTTTCTTCAGCTATTACAGCGAGGATTGGCGTATCAGGTATAAATGAGATATTGGCTGTAGGTAATTTCTAACGTTTTCACCATTACACAGATCTGATAATCTCTACTTTGTTACATTCAGGCTGAAGTGCCAGTCAATTGGTGCCCTGCTCTTGGTACTGTCTTGGCAAATGAAGAGGTAATAGATGGTTTGAGTGAGCGTGGGGGTCATCCGGTTATAAGAAAGGTATATACTGGTTTGATGCATTTTCATTTTTCAAACCATCTAAGATAATAAACTTATTGGCTTAATTCCAAGTTCCGGATGGTTCTATAATTTTACAGTGTCATTGTTTATTACCGAGCAGCCAATGAAGCAATGGATGCTCAAGATCACTGCATATGCTGATCGTCTTCTAGACGATTTAGATGACCTTGACTGGCCTGAAAGCATAAAAGAAATGCAAAGAAACTGGATAGGGAGGTCAGAAGGTGCTGAGATGGAATTTCCTATTCTTAGCAGTGATGGACAGGAAAGAGACACAAAGATTACAATCTATACTACCAGGCCTGACACCATATTTGGAGCAACGTAATAATAATCATACACCAAATTCCTATCTTGATAGAAGTTTTACATTTGAGGCACTTGTACAGAAAGCATTTTACATAGTGTCCCTAAATCTATATTTGTGTTTTTGGCTCCAGCTATTTAGTCGTGGCACCCGAGCATCCCTTGTTGTCAACGTTAGTATCAACAGCTCAGAGAGAAACTGTACGTTCAATTGTTTCTTGCCCAGTTTTCTCAAAGGTTTCTTATGATGGGTAATTAGAGGGCCAACAATATTGAGCACAGGTGGAGGAGTACATAGATCTTGCCTCAAGAAAGAGTGACCTTGAGAGGACTGAGCTTCAGAAGGAGAAAACCGGGGTCTTCAGTGGTTGCTACGCTAAAAATCCTGTTAATGGGGAAGCTGTTCCTATATGGGTTGCGGACTATGTCTTGGGGAGGTTTGTTTGGCTTTATGCTCATTTCCTTCATTCATTACAACTGTTCTTCCCATTAGAAAGTTGCAATCTTACTGACGTTTTGACAGCTACCTTTGTATGGTGTGTAAAAGGGAAATTTTATCTGTTGATTGTTTCTCCTCATGCAAATATGTTTCATCAAGTTGCTATATAACTTTTACACGGGACTTTGTTACTTTGCAGTTATGGAACAGGGGCAATTATGGCTGTTCCTGCACATGACACTCGTGATTTTGAGTTTGCATCAAAATTTGACATCCCAATTCGTTGGGTTGTGATGCCGGATGATAAAAATATCAGTGGTTCCAAAAAGGCCTATTCAGGTGAAGGTACTGTTATAAATTCTTCTAATTCAACAGTGGGGCTGGACATTAATGACTTATCTAGCAAAGAAGCTGCTTCCAAAGTCATTGACTGGGCTGAGAAAACTGCACATGGGAAGAAGAAGGTGAGTTTTCAGAGCACGGAAGCTTATGTAATTAGACATTTGGAGTATGCCTACTTGCTCTATGCATATGATATATGATTTGTTCTTTTTGCTCAAACTTGTCTTTCTTCAGGTGAACTTTAAGTTAAGGGATTGGCTTTTTGCTCGGCAACGTTATTGGGGTGAACCTATTCCAGTAGTTTTTTTGGATGATACTGGTGAGACTGTTCCCATACTTGAAACTGAACTGCCCCTTACCCTACCAGAACTGGATGATTTTTCTCCCACTGGGACAGGAGAACCACCACTATCAAAAGCAGTTTCTTGGGTACAGTTTCCCTCTTTTCTTCTGTCTATGTCTTGCTACTGTTTAGTCTGTTTATGGATGTGTTCATGCGGTTCAAGATTTGTAGTTTTGATAGTCTTTGGTGAAATGCAAAACATTTTCTTGCCAGTGTTCCAGATGATTTTGCTGCCATCTATACTTATATATGTATACTTTGTAACTTTTCAGGTTAAAACTAAGGACCCTTTATCTGGAAAACCAGCTAGACGAGAGACAAGCACGATGCCTCAATGGGCTGGTTCTTGCTGGTAAGCTAATTAACTTCAATAGTTGAATTGTGTTAGTTAATGCAAATATGAAATGTTGAAATTCATTTTAGGTTTTGAGATGTTATATTTTTTTTTTTACCGTGTCCAGGTACTATTTGAGATTTATGGACCCAAAAAATTCAGAAGAATTGGTGGAAAAGAAGAAAGAAAGGTAAGTGAAATATTTCTCTGGGAATTCTTCATATAAAATTCTACTTTCTTTTCAAATAAAAATTGAAAAAGGTAATGATTAAATTTATGTGAATTCCTCCTTTTTCTTTTTGTCTTTTTTAATATCCTCTTGATCTGCAGGTACTGGAACCAAGTTGATGTGTATGTTGGGGGTGCAGAACATGCTGTTCTTCATTTACTTTATTCAAGGTTCTGGCACAAGGTGTGTAACTTAAATCTGTCTTGTTCTTCATTTTGGAACATACATGTGCATAAGATTGACCAATATGAAATTGCATGACTTTGTACAATAGTTGTATCTATAATTACAGCTGTTGTGGTCATTAATCCTTGATACTGTTGTGTTCAAGTCTTGTGTCATATGTCGTATGAATTGTTAATGCCGCATAATATTATTTCAGGTTCTCTATGACATTGGCGCTGTATCCACCAAAGAACCGTTCAAGTGTGTCATAAACCAGGGCATTATTCTTGGCGAAGTACAGTTGTTTTTGCTCTTTGAAGTAATTGGAAAAGTAATTTTTTTTTTCCAATACATGTTTCTAATGCTTTGCTTTGCAGGTTCAATATATCGCTTACAAGGACTCTGATGGGAATTTTATCTCTGCCGACTCTGGGACAGCAGTGGAACATCAGCAAGAAATAATACCAGAGGAAAAGGTACTCTTCTTGGATGCCTCAGTATAGTTTGATCCTGTACACTGTCTGTTTTGAAAGGTCCCAAGGGAAGAGTAAGAACCATTTGTTTGGCATTTCATATTCCTCTTTCTCATTTTATTATCTCTGACAATATTTTTACTTCTGTAGGTCATGAAATCGGGGGATTCTTTTGTACTGAAAGACAATCCTGACATTTGTCTGATTGCACGCTCTCATAAAATGAGTAAAAGCAGGGGAAATGTAGTCAATCCCGATGATGTTGTCTCTGAGTACGGGGCGGATTCACTTCGCTTATATGAAATGTTCATGGGGCCACTTAGGTAATTTTCTTTTCATTGAATTTTTATCTTATTAGGTACTTGGTTTGGCCTATGTTTTCGCTTATGTGCCTAGGAAATTACGAATGTCTATGCCTATCTCAAGTATAAGATAATATCGATAAAGATAAACTTTGCTCTTGATTAATCTTTCTTGTCACTGAATCTTGCTTCTAGAGATTCAAAGACCTGGAATACGAGTGGAATTGAAGGTGTCCATCGATTTTTGGGAAGAACATGGAGGCTAGTCGTTGGTTCACCATTGTCTGATGGTACATTCAAGGATGGGACAGTAGTGACTGATGGGGAACCTACGTTGGAGCAACTTCGTTCTCTTCATAAATGCATTGCAAAGGTCAGATCTTAATTTCTGGACTCGATCTTCTATTTCTTTTTATATCATATTCAAATTTCTACTTGGTCATTTACTATGAGTTGTTCTCTTAGAAGGTAAATCATGAAAATTACGATAGAATGGCATGTAAAAAAATCCGAAGTATGCACCTTTTAACCAATAAATTTTCCTAATTGCAGGTAACCGAAGAAATAGAAGCAACAAGGTTCAACACTGGAATATCTGCGATGATGGAATTCCTTAATGCGGCTTATAAGGTCCTTGAATCGATTTAAAACATACATGTACCATCTTTTTGTGATGGTTAAACATGACAGATTACTGACTTTAACTGTTTCATATCCCTTTTCAGTGGCAAAACCATCCAAGATTGGTTATTGAAGCATTTGTTTTGTTGCTCTCACCGTATGCTCCTCATATGGCCGAGGAGCTTTGGTTTCGCTTGGGACACTCCAAATCTCTGGCATATGAGCCTTTTCCGAAGGTGAGATTACAATATCATGTAGGATGTAAAACCACGCAGAGAATGTCGAATGAGATATGCAGATCACTTGTTGATTTCTTCCTATGTTCTAACAAATGCAGGCGGATCCTTCTTACTTGAAGGAATCTACTATTGTCCTCCCAGTTCAGATCAATGGCAAGACCAGGGGTACGATCCAGGTTGAAGAGACCTGTTCGGAGGAGGATGCTTTCCAACTAGCAACACAAGATGAAAAAGTCTGCAAATATCTGGATGGAAAGTCGATTAAAAAGAGAATTTTTGTCCCTGGCAAGATTCTGAATGTCATCCTGGACCGTGAAAACGTCAAGGCAGCTGCCCGATAATCCCTTCAGTCCCATGCCGGCATTGGTGATTGAGTCAGACAACTGCATGAAGAAACAGCTCCCAAGTTATCTGCTTTGCAATTGATTGCATGTACCTCCCCGTTTCGGAGGCCTTGAAATCTAGGATTCGGTCTAGGACTTTTGGGAAGAAGGAAAGCACAGCTAATCTTGCACAATCCATAATGTATTCTATTTGCAGTGCGGACCCTGGCTTGTCCGCACAGGATAGGACCCCACGTTTGAGGGGCCCTAAAATAAACGAAATTTATGTAAATAGGTGGAGTCATTAATTTTTCTCTATTTATATAAATAATAAAAAAGAATAACAATTCATAAAAGAATTAAGATTTTCTTCCTCTTTTCCGCTCTCCGCTTTTCTCTTTTGACATACACTATGAAAACCTCCTCTTCCATTTTTCTGCTCTCCTCTCTCTCTCCGAAACTCCGCTAGATAACTCCAAAATTCAGACGCACAAACAGAGTCCAGCGTGTAATGCTGGGAAACTAAATTTGTAGACAAAATTTTGTAACTAAATAATTGACATGGAAGTTGTTGATGATTGAATTATTACTTAAGCGTTGATAAACGTGCTCATTCCTATGGGGTGACACATTACTTAGTGAATGCAGTCCGACTTGAAATAGGAATTGGATATCTCCGAGTGTATCAGTTTAAAAGTAGAATGTCATGCATTTATATTGGTGATCCGTAAAGAATGTAGTTAACAAGTTCAGAAATTTATCATTCAACTCTCGTTGTTAGTGCTCGGTTTCTTCATTCCCTCGCTTAACATTTTCAACATCGACGCGATATCATCAAACTGAGGATTTGTATTGTGATCTGTGTAGAATGTAGTGATCGTCCCGTGCAACTCAATACAACTCCAGCCTGGGAGTTTCTTCAAGCCAAGATACCTCATTTGGCTCCATGCCTCGCCCACGCCATCCCATCTGTTCATCGAAGCATAGCTATGTGCCAATTGCACGTAGTTTCCAGCATCCCCAGGTCGCAACATCAGAATTTCTCCGGCAATAATGTTCCCCAGTTCCTCATTACCCTTCGTTCGACAAGCGTCAAGAAGTATGCCCAAGACATCGACTGCCGGTTCTTGAAAAACCCTCTTGTAGAAGTCATATGCCTCTTCTACCCGTCCAGCTCGACTGAGAAGATCAACAATGCAAGCGCGGTGTTCAAGGCTCGGGGCAATGCCAAAGTCTGCAATCATTGACTGGTATATGCTTAAGCCTGTGTCAACAAGCCCATTGTGACTACAAGCAGAAAGAATTGACAGGAAGATGACATGGTTTGGTTTAATTCCAGTGAGCAGAAACTCTGAATACATCCTCAACGCGGTCTTTGCTTTTCCATGGCAACCATAACCGGAAATAATTGTGCTCCATGAGACCAAATCCGGGCCTGACATCTCAACGAAGCATCTGTGAGCTCTATCTAAGTCACCGCATTTTGAGTACATGTCAACCAGAGCTGTGTCTATCAAAATGCATGGTCTAAGGCAACTTCTAATGGTAAAGTTGTGGATCCACTTTCCTTGATGGAGTGCCCCAATGGAAGCACAAGCTTGGAGAAGGGAGACCACAGTTAAAGAATCGGGCTTCTGAAGGGTTGCCCTCATCTCGGAGAAGAGAAGCAGAGCCTCGCGTAAATGGCCGTTTTGAGCATATCCAGCAATCATGGCATTCCAAGAAACCAAATCTCTTTTGCCCATTCTTTCGAAAACAGCACGACTCTGCTCCAAACGCGCACACTTTGCATACATTGTTACAAGGGAGTTCTGGGCAGGGATATCTAGCCTCATTCCTTGCCTCAGCACATAACCATGAACCGAGGTTCCCATATCAAAAGAACCCAGTTGCGCACAAGCTGCAAGAGCACTAGCTACAGTCGCACTAGATGGCACTGTTCTTGATTCTAACATTTGAGAGAAAACAATTAGTGCGCTGTCCGCAGAATCATTTTGCACAAGCCCTGACATCATGGCCGTCCACAGAACCACATCCTTATTCCTCGTCCCTTCGAAGATATGAAATGCAGTGTCGATGTTCCTGCATTTCAAGTACATAACTATGAGCGCTGTTTCGACATGGGAATCCAATTCATATCCAGTTCTTAAAATCTGTCCGTGCACTGACTTTCCCAATTTCAAACTACTCTGCATGGCAGCCACGGACACAGCAGATGCATACGTCTGTTTATCAGGCTCCATTCCTTCAACCCTCATCGTATACAAAAGCCGGAATACTTCTCTGATATTTCCAGCCTGGGAATAGCTTGAAATCAAGGAATTCCATGAAACTATGTCTCTTGCATTCATACACTCAAACAAGTTTCGAGCATCTTCAACTCTTCCACATTTACCATACACATTCAACATTGAATTCACCAAAGTAATGTCAGACTCAAAACCATATAATACTGCACAACCATGCAAACACTGCAAATAAGGCAGCTCCGAAACTCCGGAGGTCAAGCTTAACAGAGTAACCGAACTGGGCTGAACTCCTTCGCGCCGCATCTCCCTAAACATCTCAAACGCAACTCCAACATTTCCGGCACGCGAATAACATCCAATAATGGAAGTCCAAGGAACAACATTTCTCTGGGGCATTACGTCGAAAACCTTGCGGGCATTTTGGGCGCGTCCAAATTTGGCGTAAAAGTTGACCAGAGAAGAAGCAATGTAGGCATCCAAAGAGAACCCATTAACGACGATGCATTGGTGGAGCGAGAGGCCACACAGAAACAGGTTTAAGGAGGTGCAAGCTTTGAGAAGATTAGGGAAGGTGTAGGAGTCTGGAGGTGTGTTGGTTTTGAGCATGGAGGAGTACGTGGCAAGGACTTCGTGGTGAGAGCCTTGGGACGAGAGGCGGTTGATGACGGCGTTGAAAGTTTTGGTGGTGGCAGTCGCGGTGGCTTGCGGTGGTGGTATTAGGGGGTTTAAGAAAGAGCTGCTCAGCTTGTTCATAACTCATGCTAGTGATTACTGAGGAGTTAAAAGAGGGTGGGTAGGCAACAAGAAGATTACATAATACGTAACGTAACTGTGTATTAGTACAAACAAACACGACACAAATATAAATAGATCAACGCGAACAGATCCATTGCCATTTTCCACCAAATTCCGAAGGAATTTGATCTGCAGGAAATGAGGATGCAGTTTGCTTGCCGCTTTGGTTAAAATGCGAACGCCTTCTTGCGCTCAAAGTTCCAATCTCCTCTTTCGTAGATTAGAGTAGTTTACAGTACATCGCGTCTTGTAAAAATAAAAAACTATAATGACACTACTAGAGTAGTCACTAGTCGGTACTAAATAGGATTTATTCATTCGATTTCATCTGTTCAAGTTACATGATACGGTTTGATTTGTATATCCAGCCTTCAAATGGCATAGAACTCTTACTACAATCTGCCAAAATCTTGGCACAGAAATACAAGAACATAAATCAAGTTTGCCCAGCTAATTTGATTGTTTCTTTGGATATTCTCTCGCCCCGAATATTGTAGATCCAATTCTCACGTTTGTACTGCCCATTTCAATCTGCAAAACCAAGTTTTTCCATTAGTGAAGAAACTTCACTGGTGAGTGGTGAAAACATGCTAGGATAGCTTAAGATTAGTCCTTACAGCTAGCTCAAAATCTGAAGACATGCCCATTGAAAGCTCACATTGCTCCTCTGGTATATCAAGTTCCTTGCAAACCTCAGTTCTGCAGTTCGCCAACGTCTGACAACAAAAGAAACTTATTCAATGGTCACCGCTAACCCTTTTTTGTCCCAAATGACAATTTGATTTGAGAATTGCCAATAAACCCGAGAAACTGAAACTTTGGAGAAAGATTTACATGTAGTCCGTTGGAGCATCACCTTAAAGTTTTCCGGTGTAGAAGTATAATCAAGCATCCCAATTGTCATTAGACCACAAAACTCAAGGTTTGGACAACCCAAAGTTACATGCTTTGCAAGCTCCACACATCCAGAGGGCTCAACGCCAGATTTTGCTACCATTGTATTATACAGAGATCAGATGTTATGTCAAAACTACAAAGAAAAACAACAAATTGGCTAAAATACAGAAAGCCATGGATTCTTGACAACGGATAACAATGCAAGCATAAACTATCCTCGAGCATGCATTTCCTGCAGTATCTATGAAAAGGGAGGCTCATATTTAGGAACTTACATTCCTCTCCGCTCGTATTCACTTGGAGCAACACCTTCAAAGGCTTTCTCCCAATGCTACCAACCACGTGATTAAGACGATTTGCAATCTGCAAAACATACGAGCTGAAGTTAACTAAAAACCAACGAAGCAGCTTCTGGAACAGCTAAACAGAATTATCCATAAGAAAACACGAGCTTCCCCAATTACAGATAATTAACAATGGCTGCTGCTGCTGCTCTTGAACTGCCCCAATCATTAACACTAGAGCAATATAACATACAGCGCAGAACCCGTAAGGCTGTAAATTCAATTTCCAATGGGAATCCAAATGGGGCACCAAGGATTTAAGCAAGCTTGACAAATTTTTACAAAGAACAACAACACAAAAGGTACAATCTTTACTAGAATTACAAAACTAATACCAAATCCCATTAATTTTTTGAGACCCATCACCCGAAACATAAGAGTAACTCTGCATACAATGTACAGAAAATGGTGTTACTAGAAAAAGTGTCTACCTTCTCATCATCCACACTCTCCACCATTGAAAGGTTTGGTACACCAACTGCACAATTTCCAAAGAAAAAAAAAAAAAAAAAAAAAGCCAGAAATGCTTACTGCTTTTGGAGACCAAATGGGTTACTTAGCAAAGTCTTAAAGTACAATTTGAGAGAGAAAATAGTCATACTTAGAAGGGGTTTTACTTTGTTGCTCTGCAAATTTCCAATGAAATGCCACTCAATGTCCTCCGGAAGCTGTAACAATCACTAAATAGTCAATATCTTTCAATACAGAGAGAGATTGAGAGAGAGAGGCAGGAGTGTACGCCTGTATGGTGTACCTGAGGAGCTTTCTCGACGATTTCTTGGACGTAGTTTTCGCCGAAACAGCGATGGCCGGCGTCGTACACTTGACGGAGCACGGAGACTGGCTTCGTCTTGCTCACCGCCACCACTCGGATCTCCTGGGATTTACGCGCTGATTTTTCGGCTGCCAACTGGACGCGCTGCAGCACCAAGCGGAGCGCCGTCGCTGCGACACCGTCCACTGCGGCAGAGCCAGCCATGGCTGGTTGCTCCCCTCCTCTGGTTTCGTTTTCTCTCTCCGCCTTCTCCAGATTGCTGGGTTGCGAATTGCGATTACACGGCCATTGCATCTGGTGGCGTGGAGCTTAAAGACTCGCGGTTGCCATTGCTGCCCGGAGCGCCGGAAGGTGCGGATTGAAAACGACGCCGTAGGTAGTTTGGACCATCCCATGTTTTCATGAGTTCGGCCCAAGTACACAGGCTAGGTGTGTAGACCCTGGGCTAGAATTTGAGGCTTAGGCCTGCAGTTTATGGCCCAGATTTAATATTTTGGATTTCTCTTCTCAATAATAAAAGATATTTTAAGTTTAATTTCTCGGGACGAATGTTTTGAGGTATTGTATGATTGAGATAAACAAACTCTAATATTAGAATTTGACTACAATACTTATATGTACGTAATACAATTATTGTACGACTATCATGTGATGATTGTATATTTAAAATTATATTTGACTGTTAAATTTGTGAAATAAATATTTCATTGAAAATATTCAAAATGATCAAGGAGAAGTAGTGTACATGTTTCTTTTTATTTCCACTGCATCATGCATTATTTTATATTTAATCCATTAGAGTAATTAGAGCGTAGCCTAGAAGATGATGGCATATCTTTACGTACTTAATGGACAAACCATCTTGTTCCTTCCTTAGGTCGCCAAAAGATGGCAAGCATCTGAAAAACCATACAAAATTGATCATTAATTCTCATAATTAATTCCTACTTACTGGGAAAAACAATCTTGTTTTTCCCGTCACCGTCACAATTATTAATCATCATATGTAAACTTGAGATATAGGTAACGATACATACTTATTTGGTACAAGCGACCTGCCAAAATACTAACTTGATAAACGCTATCTAGTCATCGGTTAAATAAATGTGTCTATCTTTTCAATCACATAATTAGTAAAGCAACGAGACATATTATTATATAAAACTATTTACACTTTATCATTTTGCTACAGCCTTTTAATCAACTACAAAGAGTTTGAGACTTACTTGTATGGTGGTATGCATCCCAAAAGTGCGATGTATACCACCATACAAAGTTCCCATCCTATCATTAAAATGGGCATCAAAAAATGCCTGCGCGATTAAAAAAATGACACAAGAAGAGAGGCTAGTTATAAAAATGAATGACTCCGATGTAAATGAAAATCTTACGTTTCTTAGGTAACGGTGTGTTGTGACTTCAATGTCTGCAGGGCTCCAAGTGTTCCCTTGGTGATTGCATGATGTAGGGAGAGGAAAAATAAAAAAACTGAGGATAATCAGGCTTTGATAACTAATCATCGTCACTCTGTCAAGCAATGTTGTTTGAGGGGTGGTGAATCTGTCAATTTTCTGAAGTGATAACAAAGTCAATGAGAAAAATCCCAAAAAAGAAAAAGGAAAATAGCAATTACATATGCTGGAATTGTAGAAGGAGAATTGTATAGGGCTTCAGATATAAAATTGTTGATCACTAATTTCTCAGCCTGAAAAAGTTTCTCTAGCAGTATTTGGCTGTTGAGTATATGTGCTTTTCTTTCCAGATTAGGGAATCATGTCTGGCTTGTTTTAATGGAAGTAGGAAAAATCAGATTTTATTCCCTTCTTCATTTTCCCTGCTCCTTTAAGTTTCATCAACAACAACATAATCTTATCTCGCTAAATGAAGGCGGTTATATGAATCTTAAAACGCCAATACGCTTCTTCTTAAGTTTCATTATGGGGTGAAATTAAATATTACACAAATTTATCATGGCTGTGAATGTGAGGAAAAGGATAATTTTTGCATTTTTCTTTATTTGAACTTTTGTATCTTAAACTTTACGATGGGATACAGAATCAGAATCGCAGGGAGGACAACTTTTCTTTCTTGTCAATCAAATGATTTCTGTACGTATAAGATATTTAGTAATTTATAAAATACAAGTAGCCTATTGAATTTAGACCATCATCATTTTAAGCCACACAAATAAAGCAAGACTTGTACATCCAGTTTCCATTTGTCAACTCTCTCCTTCCCCAGTGTTTCTATAAAACCCACACATTCCAATGACACCCTACAATAAGTATACACTCTTCTTCTTCAAAAACATCTTTCCATACAAATATTTCATAACTTTCAGATATTATTTAGTCATGGCCATGAAGTTGATTAACACCTTCTTTACTCTCCTAGCAGCAATGACCATTGTTGGAGCTGCAAATTTCCACGATGATCATATCGAAGACGTGGAAATGCAGACTAGTACTGTAGCAGAAGCAACTACATTGCCTCAAACACCAGATGAAGCAGAAGCAACTACTTCTTTAAGACGAGTGAGCCGTTTTCTTTATAATCATCATAAAAATATACCACTGCCCAGTTATACTTGCGACAACTTTCCCAGGATTTGTCGTGCGAAGAACAGCCTGGGGCCAGACTGCTGCAAGAAGAAATGTGTTGACGTGAAGACTGATCGGTACAACTGTGGGATTTGCGGCTACAGATGCAAGTACACTGAGATCTGTTGCAGGGGTAAGTGCGTCAATGCATCGTTTGACAAGAAACATTGTGGTGGGTGCAATCAGAAGTGCAAGAAGGGAGACTTCTGTGTTTATGGGATGTGCCATTATGCATGATTAGTTCACAGTATATTACTGCTATACATTTATCCTGTCACATCATGACAGCTTACATAACAATCTTATGTAACCAACAAAGAGAAGGGATCTTATAGTATATGTTATATATATATCCTCTGAAATTTTTATCCATTAAATAGTTGATTAAAAATGCAATGAACTTGAAGAATTATATTATTCTAAGACCTTTACCAATTATCTATACATTTTTCGGCCAAAATTCTGATGTGTGTGTCCATGTAATGTTCACTGTCCCACGCATACTAGTCCTGGTCCATGAGCAATCTTTCGTATATCTAGATTGGGAATTGTGCTTTACTATTTCTATTCTGAATTAACGCCAAACAAATTAATCTGACACGTTTTGTTTCATCATTTGCTAGTCCTTGATCCTTTGAGATTTAGAATCACTGACCCATAGTAGTTTGGAATTTTATCTTGTAAGATTTAGTTCAAATTAATCACATATAGGCAAAACTCTAAAAGTGGATTAAAGGAGCAAATTTTTGCAAGTTACATTTATTGTAGTTTTAGGAAAATAATTAAGGACAACTGCACAAAACAAAGTAAACATTGCCCTATCATATAATGAAGTGACACACACGTGTATATATATAGTCATTAAAAATTTGCATATACTTATATTTTTTGCGAGAGCCAAATCTATGGAAATAAATTGGTTGGTGACTTCTTATTCTGATCGATGCATAATAGTACGATACAATATATATATATATATATATATCTGTACAATATATATAGTCTATAACGATTTTTTTAATTGAATCTTATACTAATTACAATTGGTTACTACTTGCTATATACAAGAAATAGTAACTACGAAAAAAAATCCAGAGTTAAGAATTCTAATCTAACAGGCCCCTATGGTCACCTTCCTTGAAACTTCTTATGATTTAACCACTAACAACCTTCCTTGAAACTTCTCATGATTTAACCACTAACAACCTTCCTTGAAATTTCTTATGATTTAACCACTAACAACCATGTCATATGATTTACAATATATAATATAAATAGATGATCTCCCTAACATTACCCATTACTTATATGATTCGAGAAGTATCAACAGAAAGGAAAAAAAAAAAAAAAGTCAATATAAGGCTCCACAAGTGGAAGTGCTTCTGTAACGGTTTCCCGGTTTGGAGAATGGACTAATTTTGGTTTCTTGGACCCTTGAGAAATCATACGGCGGGCGCCTGAGCTCGCATGTAATTGCCAACATATATACATGCATGAGTCTGATGAATAACCCAAGCAAATTATAAATCTAATGATTCATCATGAGTGTGATGAATTAACCGTCAGCCTATGAGCAAACTCAGCGACTTAGTTTCCTTTCTTCGTTCATGTATAAGTTCATACTGACCTAATTTCGAGTATAATGTTTCTTTGGAAGCCTAACTTTGTTTACTTAAAACGTTTTGTTTGTAGCCATTTGAATTAGACCAACGCATTAAGGACATCATGAATACTCTCAAATTATACAAGTTAACTAATACATGCAACCCTGGTTTTCAAATGATATCGAACTCGTTGACCTCTATCAACTAGCCCCCACGATAAATTTTTCTCTATAAATACTTCTGCAAATCCATGTGCTTATCCATCCAAAAAAACATCATAAACGTTCCTTCATCAACTTTTCCCTTTTGAGATCTCTCTGCTTCACCAACAAATTAAACTTGCATCATGAAAGCCTTCAAGGTTTTGCTTGTTCTTGCCATGCTACTGACTTTAACCATTAGCACTCTATCTGCAATCCCAGGCCAAGAAGAATCATTCTTCGAAGAGGAAAACAATGATCCAAATGATGAAACCAAAAGCCAATTAGAAAAAAGCACTTCTCTGAGGGGAACAAGCCGCTTCCTTGCTTCTAGGGCGGCGGTGATGACATGCGACAAAAAACCTAGCGTTTGTCGGGTCTCGGGCAGCGGAGGCCCAGATTGTTGCAAGAAGAAATGTGTGAACACGAACACAGACAGAGTAAACTGTGGTAAGTGTGGGAAAAAATGCAAGTACGCAGAGATATGCTGCAAAGGCAAGTGTGTGAATCCAAGGTCTGACAGGAAAAACTGTGGTGGCTGCAACAATAAGTGCAAGAAAGGCAGTTCATGTGCGTATGGGATGTGCAGTTATGCGTGATCGAAGATTAATTACTGATCAGCAGATAATGAACTTATATTCGGTCGACATTGCGAAGATAAAATAAGGCTATATGAATTTATGTATGTGTGCAAGGATAATAAGGGCTAGCTAGTCATCACATTTTGATGTGCTAGCTTGGCCAGTTACTTGTTGGTTATTTATTTTATTATTAATGTAAAAAATCTTAAGAATAATGAATAAAATATTAACTTTTATTTTATTTATTTTAAAGCTTGCGATTAGATATTCCGGTTAATCGTATATAACGATTACTCAGTCTCTGCCTTTTAAGTCATGTGTGCATTACCGTGCTTGTATACATGATCTAGATCTTTAACATTCAATTAGAAATCTGTTTGCCTCTCCCTGCACACAAATATGTGCATTACCACTCAGACTTTGTTGTAATGCTAAAGCACCACCTTTGTTAACTTCCATTCAAATTTCCTTTCAGTACGTATTGTTTTATCTTTTAATTTTAAGCGTACATATTTTATTTTATACAAGCTTTCTTTATTAATTGATTAAAAGATCATATTTGTTTTAGTTAAGATTAACTTTCAGTTTGATATTGTATGTATAGGAAATTTAGTTTGCAAGAAAATGGTAATAGTAGGGAAACTAAATGTAGAGAATAAATTTTGGAAATTAAAGGACATGGAAGGTTATGATTAGTTTATTACTTACGCATTGACAAACGTGCTTATTTTTATTTGTGACACATCATTTAGTTTGCAAATTTAGTCTCCAAATTTAATCTCTCTAGTATTACCCTTGCAAGAAAACGCCATTTGGACATCTTAAAATTTGAATCATATCATGTCCATATTCGTGCCCCAGATATGGATAATTGAAGTTCCAGTTAAATTAATTGGGAGTAGGGTGATTAAAAGAGTTTGCTGAATATAATTCTCATATTGGGAAACTAAGAAAATAAAATAACATATAAGTGTATGGTTTCACTTCTAACAACATCGAAGCTCTTTTGTCATAAAATTCAACATCTAGTAATAGTTGGTTAAGTTAGAACAATATTAATATGGTCAGTGACCCGTCTCTTTGTCTGGCATGATATCAGAGCAGGTTTTATTGTAGGTCATGTGGGTTCGTGCCATGCCCTAATTACCAAGTTTAATATAACATTGTCTATGTTGTGGCCGAGTTAATTATTAATGTAACATTATGTTTCTACGCTAATGTCTGATGTGGGATTGGTTGCACATGTGGCCCATTATGTGATGGTCCCACATGAGGGGACATATTGAATATAAGTTTCACGTTGTGAAATTATAAATGTATGGTTCTACTTCTAATAACACTATAGGATTTTGTGATAAAATCCAACACCTAACAATAAGTGGGTAAGTTAAGATGATATCAATGTAATTAGAAGTAGATCAATGATCTGTCTCTTTAATTATTTGACGTAGTTAAATTTCACCTATAATAATTCGCAATAGAGTGGATCCCCAACTCGTTATAGATTCATGCATGCAAAATTTCTTGACTAATTTATCGATATTGGATTTACACTTTTAACAGATAGTGCGACGAGTTCATCTATATATAGTTGCACGGGAACATTTCTTTGCAAGGAAATGGGAAAAACGAGCAAAGTTTTTTGATAAAACTTTTTAAAACAGCGTAGTGCCAAAGATTTCTTTTTAAAATGTTTAAGCCATTAACCAGCCTTACATTTCTTAATTAACCTTTTTACCAATGTTGAAGCCATGTTCGTAGGTGCACTGTTCTGACTTCAGTGTCTGCAGTGCTTCAATGTATTGAAGTAAGGTTGGGATATCCACACATCCAATTTTATCTCACACACATTTTAAAATTTTATTTAAAAATTGAAATTTGAAGGAGTGAGAAGGAAAATGAGATGTGTAAGAATATACATCCCCTTTTTTTTCTCTGGTTGACTTTGCTGTGTTTTAAAATAAAACTTGTAGTTATCATGTGTTTAAAATCTTATTCCCAGAACCAAATCTATGCTAACGAAATCGAATTGGATGGTATTGAAGTCTTCGGGTAGTCACCCTCCTCGAAGTTTCTTCACTTATATATATTGGTCAATGGTCAATTATGTCATTCCAAAAGTATACTAAAGTAGGAAAAAGTTTAACATAGAGGCTCAACAAGTGCTTCTGTAACGGTTTCCCCCTTTGGAAAATGGACTATCTTTGGTTTCTTGGACCCTTGAAATAACAAGAAGGCGGGCTAGAGCTCACGTAAGTACCAACATATATGCAATATTATGCATGCATGAGTGTGATTAACCCAAGCAAATAAGGAGAACACCACCGCCTAACCACAGCCTAACCTGCCTACTTTATCATCAAGTAAATTTGTATCTTCTTATTCGTAAGTTCATATCCACCTAATTAATTTGGAGTACAATATTTCTTTCGAAACCTAACTTTGTTTACTTAAACGCTTCGTGGCCCTTTGATTTAGACAACCCATTAAGTAGATGAACACTCTACAAATTAATACCACCCATAGCCCCCTTTCATTCTTCTCTATAAATATTTCTCCAACCCTATATGCTTCTCCATCCAAAACATTCATACATATGTACTTTGTTTCACCATCTTCTCTCCCTTTAAAAATATCTCCTTTTATATATACAATACACCCAACTACGCAACCAAAACATCATGAAAGCCTTCAAGGTTTTGCTTGTTCTTTCCATGGTAATGGTTTTAGCCATTACTCTCTCTGCAACTACGGACCAAGAAGAATCCTTTTTGGACGAGGAAATCAAAGATACAGATGATGCAACCAAAAGCATGCAATCAGATAAAACCACTTCTCTTAGGGGAAGAAGCCGCTTGCTTGCCTCTCGGGCCACTGTGACTACATGCGACAAATACCCTAGGGTTTGTCGGGCATCGGGCAGCGCAGGGCCAGATTGCTGCAAGAAGAAATGTGTGGATACGAACACTGACAGAGTAAACTGTGGCACGTGTGGGAAGAAATGCAAGTACGGGGAGACATGCTGCAAGGGCAAGTGTGTAAACCCTAGGTCTGACAAGAAAAACTGTGGGAGCTGCAACAACAAATGCAAGAAAGGCAGTTCATGTGTCTATGGGATGTGCAGCTATGCATGAAATTCTTTAAGTTACCATTTGAGGGACTTAAACAATTAATTATTTTTTATAATTTGATTTTTCTTTTATTATAATGTAATTAAGGAATAAATCATTTGTAAGAGAAGGAGGATCCATCCTGGATTCTATATTTCCTCTTAGGGTTAGGATTGTTTCCTTGTTCTTGTGTGCTGTATAATTCTTTTATGTTAAGAAATATTCTAGCTTGTACTCCAAGTTATTGTTTTAAAAAAAGAGGTTTTTCAAATTAATGTAAGATTACATATTAACTATGGTACCTTGATGTGTCCTTAATTCAAATTAATGTGTATTTTATTTAATGTTTTCCATTAAATATTTAAATTAATTAATATACATGATTTTTTGACCAAATTTTATTTAACATTCTTCAAACTTGAAAACTCAATTAATGTACCTAAAATTTATGCACTGAAATGTTAGTATTGACATGTAATATATTGAATTAATGTACCTAAATATATGTACCGAAATGTATTATAATAAATTAATGTACCTAAATGTGTGTACCAAAATGTATGTACTGAAATGTATATACCGAAATATATTATATTGAATTAATGTAGTACCGAAATGTGTGTATCTAAATGTATGCACCCGAAATGTATTATAATGAATTTACTATACCTAATGAAGAAGACAAAGTATATCAAAATATATTGTATGACAAAAATTAGTTAACTAAATATATTACGATGAATGAAATGAAAATGAAAATTATGATGAAATATAATTAATACGTTAAAATTAGGAAGAAAAAGAGAAATAATTAAAACATCAAAATTAAATTAAATAAAATGAGGTGATTAATGTATTATGGAACTAAAATTATATTTTAATTTTATTCTTGATTTTAGAGGTTATTATGAAGTGGGTCTCTTTCTCGCTCAATTATGAGGGGAAATAGTATCTTCTATTTAATTAAGTTCTTATGTGGAGATCATGTTCACAGTTCAAATTGATTAGTTTGGTAATGTACGTATGCTAGAAGGAAATTTATTTATTTTTTGAACAAATAATATTATCTATAATAAACGAGAGGGGGTGAGCTTAGCCTCATAATAGCCTAACAATAATTTAGTTCAAATTCGTCTTTGGCGAGAATCAAATATAAGACTTCTCACAAATGAAGAGGAATACCACTAGACCAATGGCGGAGTCAAAAATTGAAGCTAGGAGGGGCCTCTAAGCCCTATGAAAGAAATTGAAAAAATAATAATATAAATAATGGGAGAAAAAGGCTCATTTTTTATAGTGGAATGAAAATTTTTAATCAAAAGAGAGTAAAGAATCACCAAATTTTTTTTTTTTTTTTGGAGATAATTGTATCGTAAACACTGAACTTGTTTATAAGTTCTTATAATCAAGTTGAACAAAAATTAACAATTATGGCTCAAAACTGCAGCTATGAAAATTATTTTTCTAGATAAATTCTTCCTCTATTTTATTTATGCGTAGTTTTATTGTAAAACAACACTCTACCATGCAAAATAGTGAATCAACTAAGGAAGGCTAGTTGATATATGCCTTTAGTTTCATAACAATACTTGTAAAACATATTTTCTTTTCTCAATTAGTGAAACACAATAAAGCAAGCTGGAAGCAAATGCACATAAATCAAAGAATGCAGAATATCCAACTAAAAGTATACAAACAAAAACTACAAATTAAAAAATTTTAGGGTAGGCCACGACCTTGGTCCCCAGTGACTCCGCCACTGCACTAGATCGTAGAACTAAGTGACCTAAAAAGAATTTAATTTGTAAAGAAAAAGCCAGCAGGGCATCTAATTGGATGAGATCATGTCTATATCGCCGCGCAAGGTATGATCGATCAATGAGACAGTTGTCAGTTGGTGGGACAACTTTTTCTTTGCAAGAAAATGGGAAACCCGAATAAAACTAGTTGAAACAGCATATGCCCAAAAAATTAAATTAAAATTAGTTTGGTCAAAATGATTCTTAATTGCTAACGACATTCTCTATAGCTATCTAGTCGTTATCGAATATGTATAATGCACTATAACTAAGTGTGGGGTAGAAAATACCATTTGAAGTGTTACAGAAAAAGGCTTTTTTTTTTTTTTTTTTTTTTTTAGTATATTCAATTAAACAATAATGTCACATTTTTTTAAATCCTTTGTTAAATAATTTCTTAGTCAATATACTAGTGAGATATATCAAGGATGTTTTGTTTAGATGCACAATCTTGAAGCTTTCTATAATACTGATATGACTATATATTATTAAAGAATGTTAATTAGAGTATTAATTACGTGTGTGAGGGATGGTACAATTTTCCTTAATTACTCACCATTCTTTACAATGTAATTGAATTGTCACGGTTTTTTTTTAACAAACGATATTATGTAGTATCTATACTAACTACTAAGAATGGGGAAGTAGGCTAAGAAATAACGTGGTTCAAATTTATTTTTAGCGAGAATCGAACCTAAGACCTCTCACTTACAAGTAAAGAAGAATACTATTAGATCGTAGTAATTGAATTTTCACGTTTTATAAGTACTTAAACTGTCAGATATTTTCAGAAAACTCTTAATCAAAGGATGAAAATCAACATACCCCTAGAGCATGCTGCATAAACCAAACTAGAAATTATACGGCCAATGAAATGAACTAGGAGCTTCGGCAATCTGCCTATATATTATCTGTTTAGTATGCATGTTTCTTGTTCCTATTCACCTAATTAATTTTGAAATAATATATACAAGTTACAATTTTTTCTGGAAGCCTGCATTTGTTTACTGAATTATGACATTTTGCTAATGGCCTTTTTGAATAGTAGACCAACCATGCAATATTCCCCGCGTTGATGACTTTTGTACATCAAACCTCGTGCACCATCCCCTACATATATATACATGTTCAAGCCCTGCATGCTTATCCATCCAAACTATATATCAAATACTCTATATTCTTCTTTTCCAATCACAAATAGATCACATGAAATCCTTCAAGGTTTTGTTTCAGCTAGCGATGCTAATGGCTTTGGTGGCCATTACTCTCTCGGCAACACCAGACGAAGAATTCGAAGAATCCTTCTTCGGCGAGGAAGACAACAGTATTAATGTTTCAAACAGTGAAACCTTTAATCAAGAAAAGACTTCTCTAAGAGGCATAAGCCGCTTCCTTGCTTCTCGGGGTCGGGCCGTGACTTGCGACAGTAACCCTAAGGTTTGTCGAGGAGGGACTCATTGTTGCCACAAGAAATGTGTGGATTTGAAGACGGACAATCTCCACTGTGGCCAGTGTGGGGTGAAAAGCCATCACTCACAGATATGCTGCCACGGTCATCTTGTGAACCCAATGTCTGATAAGAAACACTGTGGCAGCTGTGACAACCATTGCAAAAAAGGCAGATCATGTGCGCTTGGGATGTGCAGCTATGCTTAGATATCAGTGAATATACTTCTACTCTCAATCAATAAGGATGATCACAAGTTAATATATATGTGTTAAGCTATTAATTGTTACTTTAACGATGATTTATGTATTTGTTTTGTTACAAGTCATAGAATAGTTTGTGATCATCATTAATTTAAGTTAATCTTAATATGTGAAAATATACTTGAGATAGGTGAAGGTTAAGGTTATGGATTTGTGTATTTGTGCAACCAAAATGGTCTACCTACCAAGTCCCCTTTCTTTATCTAACACATAAACCTACGTTGCAAAACCTTAAACGGTCTCGTTGACATCAATGTTAATAACTAGTATAGAACATGGTTGTTAGACCCGGACAAGTGATTAATTAGTTGACGTCGAAATTGTACGATTAGCAGATTTTTGTCACTTCTAGTACAGATAAATTATGCACATGGCTAGCTATATAAATATATATGCTTTCGACCCTTCTTCCGTTCTTTTAAGTCTAGATGTCATAATATATGGAAAAGGATCCTAGCAGGATCCTTTTCTTGGGAATCCTAGAAATCTCGTGATTGTGACTGTTCATCATATATTGTGCAGTTAGTTTTCATTAGATGCTATTTATATTTAATTTTAAATTTTAAAATGATTTATGACCGCACGATATACAATGAACGGTCACGATCACGAGATCCTTAAGATCCCCAAAAAAAAGATCCAACAAGGATCTTTTCCATAATATATATAAGCAAAGTACCAAGATATAGAACCACAATAATTCATGCAAAACAAAGAGAAAGTAAAGAATTTGTAAAGCTAGCTATATATGTAGATTCTGTTTTCCAAGATGGAAATGTGTTTCTGAGTGGTGCCTTCTACCTACAAATGATGACCTAGGATTTGTACTAATACAAATAGAATTCTATTAAAAAGAACATTCATTAATTGAACTGAAGAGGAAATCAATAAGTTTTGGTGATTATAATGTAATTTTACGTTTCTTACAATGGAAAATATAAGTTTGACCTAAAACCCAACATAGTTTAAACTTTAAATTTAACATAATTAATGTTGTGACAACCTTAACGTAAAAGTTGGAGGCACAAAACTGAATAATGATGATTTAGTAATTTAACGATGTTCATTCATAATATCCTACATCTTTACAGTAACAAGAAGCTCACGCTACAAATACCAACATTGTTTGAATAATAGAATATCATTATGCAATCTCGTCATCACTATGTAATGTTGGATAATAAACTTTTAGGATTACAGTGTATTCTTACGTGTCTTGTATTTCAGACATTGAATCAGTATTTAACTTAGTGCATGTTATATTGTAACAGCCTTCATGTGAAGGTTGCGGTGTGTGGGACTAAATGTCATAAATTCATAAGGTCCTTATGTCAAAATGCCTTTATATATTATAACAAAAAAATTCAGCGGTAAAAGTTAATGGAGTAACAATTTTGTTGTGTAACCTCATCATTATTATATAACGTCGGACGATAAAATTTGACGATTATATGGGTATTAAGGGTATCAACACCATTAAAAGCAAAAGAGTCATTTTATTTATACACCTCGAGCGGAAGGCCTTAAGAAAGAGCTTCTTGATTATAAGAAATCTAAGTAATCATATACAAGGAAATCGATCGAAGCCATATGAAATAACGAATCCATCTTATCTAATCATCTAATCTATTACTTCTATCCCCGCAAATGAAGCAGCCACTACCGTACTACGATAAGGCTAAGCACATAGCTATAGGGGTGGCACTGGGATGGTTTTCCAAGATTTGGAGTATGATCCTCTTTCCTTCAATTTCTCTTTTCTTCCCTCTTGTTGAATTTTTCAGGT